AGTGTGCCCCAGGGGCGGGGCTGGTACAGCAGGCCTGAGGATTGAACCCCCACCCCCTGTGCCTGCTTGCAGGTGCGTGAATCAGCTGAGCTATTTGGCTGGCTCTAATAGTTCTTCAAGTTTACCAGTGTTGCAAATTCTGAATGTGTATATCACATTTAAATACATGTAGCATTATTTACATAATTTGACAAGAAAGTCTTTAAAAATATATGTAATGAGATACTCTGCACTTGTCTCTCAATTAATATATACCTATAGTAGATACCTAAATACAATTTATTATCTATTACATAATATCACTTGTTGCATAACGTCAATACTCCATATATTTCAGATATTGAGAGATTTCAAATAATCAATTATCAGATTCTAGATTTTTTTTTTCAGAATCTAGTTATTAAACATGAATCATGGGGCCGGGGAGATGGCTCAGTAGAATAAGCACTTACCTGGCAAGTGCAAAGACCTGAGTTCAATCCCTGGTTCCTCCAAAAACAAAAATAAAAAAGAATCTTTGGAGAAGTTTTGTGACTAAAGAAATTGGAACATCACCTCATTCTATTTGTTTTTTGATTTTTGAGACAAAGTCTCCCTGTGTAGTTCAGTCAAGCTTCAGACTCACTGTGTGTCACAAGCTGGCCTCTAATTCCTGGCAATCCTCAGGTCTTAGTCACCCAAGCGGTAGGATTCTGTGCACATGCCACCATGCCTCGCTTTCTGTATTTTTCTTTTTTTTTAACATGTATTGTTTGCGTAGTATCCTCTAACATTTCTGGCCTTTGAAAAACATTCTTGTGAGGGCAAATTACCTTAGGTTTTTCTGGAAAATTCTGTCTTCATCTTCAATTTGTTGGTCACCCCAGCTTCCTCCTAAAGTGTAGAAAAAGAAATACAATGATGAGTGAATACATTACATAGAAACATTAGCTTCCAGGGGCCAGGGAACTAGCTCGGAGGTCTCAGTGCCTGCCTGGCAAGCGAAGGACGTAGGCTTGATCCCCAGTACTGCATGCTGTGCTGGCCACACCGCACGCCCCTGAGCTGGCCACTGAAGCGGGGTGTGGTGGTGCACGCCTGTGATCCCAGTGCTGGGAAGGCTGAATCAGGAGGATCACTATGACTCTGAGCTGTGCAGAGAGACCCTGTACCAAATACATAAGTTTAAAGAAATTAGCTTCCAGTTGGATTCATGTCTGAAAGATTTATGAAAATATGTGCATATTCCAATAAAGTAAATGCAATGTTGTGCAAAAACCAATGCTTTCTGATTGCAAAAGTGAGAAAGTATCTCCCTTACCTATAGCAGTCACATTCCTAAAGTTTTCCCACATCACATCTCTGAAGAGCTCCTTTTGGGATGGATCCAAAGGCAAAGTCCATTAAAGGGTGAGATAATTAACAGGTCAACCGTTCAATTATCTGATTAATTTTTCTTCTCCATTCTGCTTAACCACATTGTTCTTTTTTTTTTTTTTTCAAAGTCAGGAGTCTCCTAGCACATCAGAGGATGATGAAGGGAAATCAGAGCATTTACCCCAATCCCAGTTCCAAGCCAGGTGGCGTTTCCAGAGTGGATGGCCTCACACAGGGTGCCAGCTTCTACTGGATGGATCCTTGCAGTTTTAGCTCTTGCTAGGCAATGCTGGGTCTGGTTCAAGTTCCCACGGAGGCTTCTTGGTTCTGGAGACAGCGCTTGTTACTTTTGGTCCTTCAGCTCTGGGATCAGTGTCTTCTGCTGACATTGAAATCTGGTCTTCCCTACCATCTTCTGGTTGGACTTGGCTCTTCTGTAACCTATGCAATCTTTATTTTTTTTTCATTTTATTTATCTTTTATTTTTTAATTTTTTAAACGTTTCTCACAGTCTTTTTTTTTTCTATAATTTTATTGAGAAACAAATTGCAATGAGACAGTTTCAAACCAAACTGGTAGGACAGTTTCAACAATTAACACATTGCATACATTCTTCCTAGGGCTTGATTGCTGTACAAGATGTGGACATGATATCCTCTTTACAAACACCATTACAACAAATCATTCTAATCATTAAGAGAATGTACTTCTGGATGGTTAACAACCTAAGTTTGCAGACCAAAATTAGAGAAAAAGGAG